GGGGGAGAGAGAGAGAGAGAGAGAGAGAGAGAATTTTTTAATATTTATTTATTAGTTCTCGGCGGACACAACATCTTTGTTTGTATGTGGTGCTGAGGATCGAACCCGGGCCGCACGCGTGCCAGGCGAGCGCGCTACCGCTTGAGCCACATCCCCAGCCCTCTGCCTAACTTTAATAGAGACAAGAATTCTAGAGTTCAGCCAAGTGGAGTGAATCTTGGACTTAGAGGAAGAGAATAGACCTGGTAACAGGAAAATGGGAGTGCTGGGTGGGGGCAGAGAGCCAGGATAAAGACAGTCCTCAGTGTTCTCAGTGAGTTCTAATTTCCCCTTCAAGTAAGTTCCATTCCTGGACTATGATGAATGTGCACACAGTAAGACTGAACAGTATTCATGTTTCAGACGAACTTGAATAGTGGACTAATCTTATGGAAAATATTAGGTAATACCACTTTCATAGTTTTACTTTTTTAAAATTATTTTATTTTTATGTGATGCTAAGTCTGAAAACCGGTGCCTTGCACATGCTAGGCAAGTGCTCTGCCACCAAATTACAGCCCCAGTCTGTGGTTTTACATTTTTTAAAATAAGTTTTTATAGTTGTAGATGGACACAATACCTTTATCTTATTTGGTATTATGTGGTGCTAAGTGTCAAACCCAGTGCCTTCCACATATAAGGAAGTACTGTTAGTTGCGGAGCAGGCTGAACAAATATTAGCTGCGGGGCAGGCTGAACACTGGACCCTCACCTGTCTGGTTCCCACCCTTCATTAGCCCTTCCTTTTGGGATGATTATTTGGCACCTTTTCCCTTTACTTCCTCTTGTTGTTTTTTAATTTGAAACCCACACCTACCCCATGCCCAATCTGCTTGAAGGCAGAAGATGACACCTTTAGCAACTACAGTGTGACCCAATCACTGTACACCAACAAGGCAGCTAGCACAGTAAAGGGCTATTAAAAACCTTCTCCTGCTGGGCCTTCTCTCTCTCTCCTCTTTTTCTCCGAGTCAATCAGACACCTCTGCAATCAAGATCCCTTGACTGCTCCGAGTGTAGTGATTACTTTCCTTTCACCATGAATAGGTATAAACCTGTCTAAGAGAAAGACAGTTTACTGTAACACAATCTTACCTTTGAATGGTTTTGCTGGATTATTATACAATTCGGAAGTTGAAGTAGGCCTGCCAGGGCTTAAGTATATGAAGGATCCTGTATGGACGGGCACTTAGGAAGTTGCAAGATCAGGATTCTCAACCATCAGGAAGTAAGCAGAAGGTGCCAAAGGCGTTGCTGCTGGTGTGCAAGGATAGCAAGACACCAGAGGAAAGGGTCAAAAGATTTCAGTCTTTAAACCCAGAGCTGGCACTCCTAGCACTGTTCCTCGTCCTGGCCCCTGTCAGCTGCAGGTCATCTCACTGTGGGTCACGGACACCAGCCCTAAACCTGGGGGAAAATCACAGAAAACTGCCTGGGCTCTAGAACAATAGCCAAAGAGAGCCTGGCCTCTGTCCTGCCTTTCTGCCCCTTTTGTTCTGGTGTGTGTGGGGGGGTGGAGGTGGCTGGCTACAAAGGATGTGATAGTAGGTCCCAGCTCTGTCAGTTTATGACCTGGGGACAGGAAGTCTCCACTGTTAAGATCTGACAGGACACCCCATTTGGCCAGGAGATATTCATCACTGGGACAAGTGGTTCTTGCTACAACACTATCCCATAAACTAAAAGCCTGGGGAGTCTGGCAGGACAAATAACTGCACCCAGAAAAGAAAAAGACAGAAACTAAGGACAACCTGTGTTTCATAGGCAGCCTCTGCAAAGGGATCTTCAAGAACTCCTAAAGAGAAAAATGGAAAGGGCTTCTTGCATTGCATATCAGTCTGCCTAATATAAGAAAAGGCCCAAAATAACCTCTGGGTACAAGTGACAGTGGGGAACTCACTTAAAGTTGATGGCATTGTGATAGTGTTCATGGAGACAGGTCAGGCTCAAAAATGTCATTGAAAGCAACATAGGAGAAAAAAGATTAAATCATAATTTTTGTATATGTTGGATTGCCCAACCCTCTCCTGGGATGAAATTTGTTGTGTAAATTAAATGCACAGACAACATTCATAAGGATTGTTTCAGAATATGAATTTTAAAAAGGTTCCCAAACTAGTAAAGATAAAAGAAAATTACAGGTATAGAAATATATTTTAGTATGGAAAATTAGAAGGTAAGAGAAATGTTTCTGAATGAGAAAATATTTTGTCCAGTAAAGTAATATTCTTATGCTAACATCCAGGATTAAAGATGACAAAACTAAGGATTTAAAGTTGTGAATGTCTAAGTAAGTTGAAGAAAGTTGGGGGAAGGTAAATCTCAAAAATTTTGTGTGTTTGTTTAATTTGGCTATAATTTATCTATCAAGATAAATTTATTCTATTTGTTGGGCTTGTGGAAACAAAGTCTTAAAGTAATTAGGGTTTGTATCTGTTTGAAAGTCTGAAATAATTACTTTGTAACTGGTTAATCAAACAACTGTTACTTAAACCTACCAATATAGATGTCACCCTAAGTATATGTGACTAGGTATAATGTATTCATTATACCTAGTCACATATACTGAGAACTATGGCTATCTAAGCCTTGTCTAAGTATTATGTAAAAATTTATAAAATGAGGGGCTGGGGTTGTAGCTTAGCAGTAGAGCAGAGACCCTGGGTTCTTTCCTGAGCACCACATAAAAACAAACAAACAAACAAATAAATAAACAAACAAAATAAAGGTATTGTGTCTAACTACAACTGAAAAATAAATATTTTTTTAAAAGTTTATAAAATGAAAGTATATGCAAGTTTACTGGCAAGATAACCACTAAGTGCTCTCTTTTATACATTGTTTCTGACATTGAAGGACCATGCTCTCAATTGAAGACCTGTCTTATATATGTTTGCTTTGAGTAAGTCAATTTCTTATCATTAACCCTGTTTCCTAAATGTATAAGAAATTTAAGGCTATTGATTTTGTTAATCCATGCAGACCTGTGATTACTGTTACCATACACTCTGGATTCTAAATTGCACTTTAAAGTTAAACTTAGTTGAATGCAAAGCTTTGTCAAGTTGGTGTTCTCCAAACTAAAATTATGTGTAGCAAAATCTCTGATTTGTATAAAAATAACAAATTTGGTTGGTATTTATTCATGTCATTTGAGGTTTTATAGCTGGATCAAGTAACATGTTGAATAAGTTATATATTCAATTTGGTGTTAATCTTCACACTGGAATTGGAATTTAAATGCATTTTTGGAAGCTAATAATGAGAGCCTGATCTGTTTAAAGGTGAAATTGTAAAACAAGGAAGCATTTTGCTGCTTTTTTCACAAAAAGAAAGTTAAAATCTCTCTTGGTCTTTGTTTAATTTATGTTTCAGATGTAATGTTGTATTGTGTTATTTGTCAGGATCCCCACCTTACCTGAAATAAGAGTCTGCATCCCACCTTACTACATGTTAGAATGGCTGCAAAATAGGCTAGACTTGAGATCATTTAGAGTTGTGATAGGTGGGATTATCTAGGGTTTGATGATAGCTCCAGTCCGGTGGGTGCCAGACTGGTTGGCTGGGCAAGTTGATAGCAAGATGCCCTCGCACCCTCTTACAACCTTCTGACCAGCTCCATCTGTCCCCGGACACTTCAGGACTAGTAGTTCTGGGAAACTTGGCTCTCTCCAGCATCTCCAACCAATGCTTCCCCCAGGCAAAATGCCCCTAGTCTGTGAAGTTTCACAGGATTGCCTGGACATGAATGACCCATGCAGACCCAGTCACTATCTGACAGATAAGGATGTAAGATACCCCAGGCTCAACCATGTTGCAGTCCCAGGATCTGAACACCATTTCACCTTGCAGAAAGACCATGAGGGATGTGCTCAAAGGAGGGACCCTGCAAAGAAGTGGCAAGATGGTGGCCACCAGCACTCCCAGCAGGAGGACCTTAGGGCAGCCAAACCCTAGGCACCCTGGCACAGAACCTCCAGGTCTTGGCTGGTGTCCTCAGACAGAGTTGGCTGCACTACGAGGTGGTGGTGGCAGCAAACCTGCAAGCATCCTGCCCCCCATCCTCCAGGCACTGGCCAGTGTCTCAAGATGGAGATGGCTGTGTGCAATCAAACCTGCAGGCAACTTGGCAATGGACCTCTGGGTGTGGGTGGAAGCAGCAGGACTACTAATTGATAGTGAGGTCAGGTTGAGGTTGTTGCCGTTACAACAACAAAAAAATCACTATCAAGGGTGAAGTTCACTGGGGTAAAATTTCATACCTTAAGCACAAGAACATTTGTTTTGAGCCAGCAAAATGTTTGAGATTGCAATCTAGACTACCTGTTAAGAGTGATCCTTACATTCTACTTATATGAACCAATTTAGCAGAATCACTGGTTTTTGTTTTGTTTTGTTTACTCTATAATATGAAGGAAGTATAAAATATCATTCATTCTTTACCAAGATTTTTTTGGTCAGAGTTCTGCAGGGAATCAGAACCAAGAGACTTATTGTAGAAATTGGCTTATGGGTTATGGAGCCAAGAAATTTTAGTGTTTGTCTGCAGGCAGGAGAATCAGGAAAGCAAGGGGTATAATTCGGTTTGAACCAAAGACCTGGGACTGAGGGCTGATAGTTTAAGTCCTGATATGAGTCATGGAGACTGAGAAATAGTAAAGGTTTGTCATATCCCAGAACCAGGAAAGATGGACATCTCAGATCATGCAGGGGAATTTGCCCTTCCTTTGACTTTTGGTTTTGTTGAGCCCCTGAAAGGACTGGATGATGCCTGCTTTTACTAAGAAGGGAGACTTTGCTCAGTCTACTGCTTTGAGAGCAAATCTTTGCCAGAATCACTCTCAGAACACTACCCAGAAATAATGTTTTACCAGCTATCAGGGTATTCCTTAGGCAGTGTGTTGACACATAAAATTAACCACCACATTCATTGCATTAAAAAATTGTCAATTCATTAAAAATTGTTTAAAAAACAGAGATGTTTATTTAAGTACAACAAAACATATAAAGAGAGTCCCTGAAGTTAAAAATGAAGTCTGCCATGGTATTTTACAAACAATATTGCTTGCACCATCAAGGTTGTTAGCTTTCCATCACTGTGAGGAAACTACTGAAGACAGTAAACTAAAGGAGGAAAGATTAATTTCTGGCTCACTGTTTCAGAATTTTTAGTCCAAGTTTGGTCGACTGCATTGCTTTAGGGTCTGAGGTAAGGCAGAATATCCTGGCAGTAGGATCTGTGGCAGAAGAGAGTGCTCCCTTTATGGTAGCAATGATAAATAATTAATTCTTTTTGAAAGTTGAGACAGGGAGGGAGAGAGAGAGAAGAGAGGAAAGAGAGGGACGAAGGGGCCTGGGACACAAAGAGCCCTTCAGAGAGTGACCCAGCTCCTGTCCTCATAAGGTTTTCCTCACTTCTCAATAGCACCATAGTCAATACATGGATCTTTGGGGGACACCCCAGTTCTAAACGATAACAAAGGTCAACTCAAGGTGCGGAGAAATATTTGGTTACACAAACCAAGATGGAAACTGTTGAGATTTCTTGTTCCAATAGCCAGAGGCTAAGTGTACATTTCCACAGGTTAGCGAAGGACATGGCTTATCACGTTAACGAAAGGTGCAGAATTGAACTATCACAAAACACAATAAAAAGCTCAAAGTTGGCTTTTCTGCCCGTGGATGCCGCAGAGAAAGCATTGTTAAAGTCTCTCTTCCTGCTGCCATCATGTCTAAATCAGTGTCCCCTAAAGAGCCCGAACAGCTGTGGAAGCTATTCATTGGAGGGCTGAGCTCTGAAACAACTGATGAAAGTCTGAGAAGCCATTTTGAGCAATGGGGAGCACTCATGGACTGTGTGATTGTGAGACACCCAAACACCAAGCGCTCCAGAGGCTTTGGGTTTGTCACTTGTGCCACTGTGGAGGAAGTGGATGCAGCCATGAATGCAAGACCACACAAGTAGATAAAAGAGTTGTGGAACCAAAGAGAGCTGTCTCAAGAGAAGATTCTCAAAGACCGGGGGCCCACCGAGCTGTGAAAAAGATCTTTGTTGGTGGCATTAAAGAAGTCACCGAAGAACATCACCTACGAGATTATTTTGAACAGTATGGGAAAATTTAAGTTATTGAAATCATGACTGACCAAGGCAGTGGAAAAAAAGAGGGCTTTGCTTTTGTAACTTTTGATGACCATGACTCTGTGGATAAGATTGTCATTCAGAAATACCATACTGTGAATGGCCACAACTGTGAAGTGAGGAGAGCCCTGTCAAAGCAAGAGATGGCTAGTGCCTCATCTAGCCAAAGAGGTCGAAGTGGTTCTGGAAACTGGTGGTGATCGTGGAGGTGGTTTTGGTGGAAATGACAATTTTGGTCATGGAGGGAACTTCAGTGGTAATGGTGGCTTTGGTGGCATGTTAGAGTCTGTAAACAAGTCAGGATGGCACCTGGCAAATGTTAGAGTCTGTAAACAAGTCTGGATGGCGCCTGGCATTTTGCCAGAGGGAGTGGTGAAGTAACGCCAGCGAGCCATTAAGTGTGGAGATTCCTTATTGGTTGACTGCTATATCTAGATTATGTTAATTAGATAAGCTGTGTGGAATGTATAAATACCTCTGTTGTCCTACAATAAACGGCTCCCACTCCTGCTGTATCGATCTATACAAGTTGCTCGTCACCCCCCGGTTAGTTTGCTGCAGCTGGACTGCGGCAGTGGCAGCCATGATGGTGGTGGATATGGTGGCAGTGGGGATGGCTACAATGGATTTGGTAATGATGGAAGCAATTTTGGAGGTGGTGGAAGCTACAATGATTCTGGGAGTTAAAACAATCAGTCATCAAAATTTGGACCCATGAAGGGTGGAAACTTTGGAGGCAGAAGCTCTGGACCTTATGGTGGTGGAGGCCAATATTTGCCAAACCATGAAACCATGATGGTAATGGCAGTTCCAGCAGCAGCAGTAGTTATGGCAGTGGCAGAAGGTTTTAATACTGCCAGGAAACAAAGCTTAGCAGGAGAGAAGAGCCAGAGAAGTGACAGGGAAGCTAAAGGTTACAATAGATTTGTGAACTCAGCCAAGCAGTGTTGGCAGGGCCTAGCTGCTACAAAGAAGACATGGTTTAGACAATACTCATATGTATGGGCAAAAAACTCAAGGGCTATACTTGCGACTAATTGTATAACAGGTTATTTTTAGTTTCTGTTCTGTGAAAAGTTCAAAGCATTCCACAAAGGGTATTAATCTACTTTGTTTTTGGCACCCATGCTGTTGATTGCTAAATGTAATAGTCTGATCATGACGCTGAATAAATGTCTTAAAAAAAAAAAAGCTCAAAGTTGAAGTTACAGGATCTTCATGAGGGTCATCATATCCTGGGGTAGCAGGAATCAATGGGTGGCAAAGAAAAGGTGGGTGTGGCTGCTGCAGTGGACAGGAGAGTGAAAGCAGCTATCAGAATAGTCCACCTCTTGCAAAAGAGGGTATAGGCCCATTGTGTCCCTAAAAGTGAAATACCTGAGTGTCTTCTAAATCCTGACTAGATGTGAATAAGCAAAAGAACCATATATAAATTAGGGGTTTGTTTGAGCCATTAAGGCACAGAAGCCACTTTTCTGGGAACTCCTGGGTGAAATTACCCAGTTCAAGAAAGCCCAGATCATGCTGGCCCTTGTCTTGGCTCACAGCTTTAGGACCAAACAACCTATTTCCTTCAAGATCCCTGCAACACCAAGAAACAAGCACCGAAACAAGCCTCCTACCACATTGAAAACTATCTACTGACCCCCTTGATCTGTACCACGATAAATAAGACAAGCATGGGCCTATTCTTTGTTAGAAGTCAGACCCCTCTGATCAGCTCAATGGGTCACACCTACCTTTGAAAATATATAACCCTTGCCTTTTTGACTTTACTTCTTGATATATTACTTTCATAGCTTTTGGTGACCTTCAACCTTGTGAGACGGGCATGGTAAGGACTACACTATGGTGATCTTCTACTCAAAACCTGAATCCCTTTAAAGCTAACAAGCTACAATTCATTGCTTTATCAATAGCGTTCACGATAGGAACCCTCTCATTCTCAACAACTAAACTGTCGATAGCCAAAGTTAAATGAGAAAAATTCCAAAGTTAATAAAGAACATTCTAATTATGCTTTTTAATGGATTATTTTTTGTTTGTTAGGGATGATGCTAAGAGTAGGTCTGACAATTATTAGGACAAGAAGCTGGCAATCTGAAATAATTTATTTAAGTGTTCTCATAATTGTCAGATTTCAATGTGGCTTATCCATCAAAGCAGGCCTGCCTTGTAATTAAATCATATAAATGTTTTATTGGTTCTAACATAATTCCGAAACAGGTTAAATCAAATAAAAGCTTTGATAAGTATTTGTACCACTCCATACAACCTTTGGAGCTCCACTTACAGAAAGTTATAAAAATTCTTTTATTTGTCTGATTTGTAAATGTGTGTACATAATGCTTATATTATGTCTACATTACATGATATTAAAATTGACTTATAAATAAATAAGCATGATCATAATTTAAAATTAACATAAAAATGGACCCAAATAGCTTTAATTCACTTGATTTAAAAAGTTTCAATTGAAATAGGGTAGAGAGTTATAAATAAAGATATCTTTAAAATTATTAAATCAAAATTTTCCAGCTGGTTAAATAATTAACTTGTGGGGCTGGGGCTGGGGTTCAGTGATAGAATGCTCCCCTAGCACATTCGAGGCGCTGGGTTCAATCCTCAGCACCACATAAAAATAAATAAATAAAATACAGATATTAAAATAATAATAATAATAAAGTTGTTAATCCCTATGATATTTAAAATTTATATCTATTTGCTTCTAACAATTTTCCTTAGCAGGAAAAAGATAATTAATACTGTTATCTACATTTGTTTGATGTCTTGGATCTTATAGTTAAGAATAAATACATTTAAGGTAAAGGGGAGTAATTATATGTCTTTATTAAAAGAGGTACTTATTGATTTGCAAGGTTAGAGTGTTAGAATGTCATCCATTGGGTGCTAAAATATCATCTACTAAATATAAAAACATCAGACCCTATTAACTAAAATATACGTAAACATTAGATGTGTTTGTAATTTGGTTAATATAAAAAAAGATCTAAAATTCCTTTGTTTTCTATGTCCTCATGAGAACCAAGGGGCTGGGAGTTAAACTTCTATCAGGTGTGATTTATATAGAAAGGTTTAAGAAAAATTTCACCCAGTAAAGTGAAAGGCTATAAAGTCTAAGTAAATTAAAACAAAATTTGTACAAAATAATTTTCAAAATGTTTACATATAACTAAATTGGTTACATGAAATTAACACAATCAGCTGAGGTTATTGAAATATTTATATTCTTTAAATCCTGCTAAGTTTCTGACATGAGGCCTGTTTACCAATATAGATAAGATCTTTTCACAGACCTTTATTATTTGGGCATTGTAACTAAAAGATAAAAGAAATAAGAAATACTGAAAACATTAATCTACTCTCATTCCAATAAAATAATTTTTTTATGTCTGTTGAGTTTTATTATTTTAAAAAAATACTAGTTTTAAAGGATTTAAGGTATATAAAATTTTGTTTAAACAATAACTGTTATTTTAAAGTACCACATTACATTCCATATTTCAAATTTTTCTTTAAAAGCTAAACTTGGTTAATATAAAAAATCAATGTAATTATGATAATTATTAATAACATATTAATTGTATCTTCATTTCCCAAATATACATGTCATTAAAGTACAAGATTTAAAAGAACATTTTACTAAGCTGATGTTATTCAAACAAAAGTTTCTACAACAATAGCTCTTAAACTATAAAATAATAACAAGTTAATTAGAAATTAATGGTGTCATTTAATATTTTATAATTAAATAAATACGGTATAAAATTTTACGTTACTCTCTACACTGAGAAGTAAACTATATTTCCAAAAGACAATTAAGACACACTAGCTTATTTATAAGTTAACAATATGAAGTATATAATTTTTTTTTTTTTTTTTTTGTGGTGCTAGGGATTGAAGCAGGGCCTTGTGCAAGGCAAGCATTTTACCAACAGAGCTATATCCCCAGTCCCTATATAAACGTTTTGAGATTTTCCTTCAAGAGGGTTTTAAAAGCTCGCTTAACTTGTCTGTTTCATGTTTCAGATATAATATTAAATTATGTTAACTAATTTATATTGATCCAAATAAGTATATATAAAATTTTTATAAAATAATATTCAAATAAAAAACTAAGATTATTCAAAATTAAACCTTACATAAGTACTGTCAAGAGGCCCATTTTTAAAAAATTAAGGAGGATACATAAGACAACAACAACAAAACTCTTTTAAAATTCTACTATCCATAGATAACTACTATTAACATTTAGTACATAACCTTCTAAATAGTTTTCTATGCATATCCTTATAGATATACATATTTTATGAACAGAGAATCATATTAATATTATTTTTAAAACTTATAATTTTAAATTGCACATAATTAATATTTTACAATATTATTTTTAATGCCAGTTTTTAAAAATCATATAGTTCATTATCCAAATATTGGACATTTAAATTATTTTTGTTACCTTAAAAACAGAATTATTAAGAATGTTCATACACCTGATACCTTTCTACACAAAAATTATTTTAGCGTACTTTCTTTAAAATGTGATTGCTAGATCAATGGCATATAAAATTCTAAAAGAGTTTTGAATTACTTATTAAATCATTACCTGAAAAGATATTACCAATTGACATTCTACCCAGCAATATTTGAAAGTACAAATTCCCCATACTTGGATCAATACTCATCATATTGAAAATTTTTCCTAATTTGGAAGGTAAAAAGCCACTCATTCTTTTACTTCATTTTTAAATTATTAATAAGTGGAAGATTTTTTTTTTCTGTGCTCACTCAACATATGTACTTCTTATTTTTAAAAGTCTGTTTAAATCTCCTGCATCCTTTGTAGAGGCCACCTATTTTAAGATAAATTTTTGTTATACAAATTAACATTTCCTAAAACAAAAAATACTATATATAACTAAATGAAGATTTATAATTATAGAAAATTATTTTCCTTAATTCATAGCAATTATAAAAATTAAATGTTTTTACTCGTCAATTTTATAATATGTTTTCCTTAACCTTACAACTACTGTTTGTCAATGTCTTACACAAGTACCACTTCTAATATAAATACCTAAGTTAATTTGAGATAATAAGGCTATTAACTATAGGACAAACAAGTTGTAAAACTAACTTCAATCTGTACCGCTATAAATAAAGCAAGTGCAGGCTTTTTCTTTGTTAGAAGTCAGGCCCCTATGATCGGCTCAACAGGTCATGCCCTGCTTTGAAAATACATGATTCTTGCCATTTTGTCTTTATTTCTTGATAGATTACCTTCACAGTTTTTATTTCACAGCCAGCCCATCCCTCCCATGGGTACCTCACCCATGCTGGATATGAACAGGAGAGCTGTAGGCTAAGTTAGAATATGTGATGATTTGCTGCAGGCCTCTGGATTTGTACTTCAATCTTCATCTGCTCTATGGAGGAATAGCAGGGAGTAGACTGGCAGAAGACCAGTAAGGCCAGTTATTTAACCGGTAAGGCCAGTTATTTAAATCACATTTCAGAAGCTTCTTGGGAGCACCTTTAGAAAAGAAACAGGTGTTACTTCAACTCTCTGAAGAAATTCTATCTCAATTCTTCTGGGTGCTCGCCTTGGGTCATGTATTTCCCTCCATCCATTACCCAAGGATCCAACAGCCTCTATCAACCACCTCCCTTCTTTCCCACAGGCCAGAATCAGTTCCTGCCCTGCTATAGGCTTTGGTCTCAGGACTGAAGCTAATGACTGGATCTGCTCCCTGACTGGAAGTCTGCTCCTCTCCCCGAGAGGAGGGTCCATAGGACCTGGGGATGCCCAGAGTCCTGTCCAAAGAGAGGGGTGTGGAACCTAGTTCCCAGACTTTGGGTGGGGTTGCAGACGACATCTTTCTTCCCCCTTCTCCCTCAACCTCTCCTTACCTGGGAGCAGCACAGCTCTAAAAGTGACTGGCCCTGCCTACTCCCTCCACTCTGGTTAAGTCAGCTGGAGCATCAGACTCCAGCAGCTGCTCAGCCCCACCAGTCTCTGTAGAGGCTCTGCTCAAGGCAGAGGCTGCTGAGCTGGCTCAGGATCTGGAGTCTGCAGGAGGCTGGGTTCCCGGGCCACAGCCCAAGGGTCAAGCCTGGGGTTCTAGGAGTCCCCAGAGAGCTGGCATCCTCTGCCTTCATCCTGAACAGACTCCACTCTGTTTTCAATTCAGCTTCTGGAAATGAGCCTCCTGTGGAATGCAGCCCTGAACTCCAGCCTTCCAGGTTGGGCTGGGAAAGGCCTTCCCTGCGCCTTACCCTGGCATTAGCCATAGGACCCTCTCTCTCCCTCTCTTTTATATATGAACATAATACCTTTATTTTAAGTTTAAACTCAGTGCCTAATACATGCTAAGCAAGCACTCTACCACTGAGCCAGGACCGAGGCCCCAGGACCCTCTTCTTTGTGGGTATGAAGTCCCTTTCTCTGTACACATTGAATGGAGCTACCATCCTGCCATCTTCCAGGATTGGGTATTTCCTTCCTGTGTTCCTGTTATTTCCACACCATGCCCCACTGTGTCCCTCTCTTATAGAAATCTGGTCTGAATCAGACCTGCATCAGCTAAAACCCTTTAGAATCCACAGGCTGCCTTGGTATGGCCCCTCCTCTTTCCCACGGGCCCTGACAGGGAGGATTTCTCAGAACTCAGGGCTGAGCATGGTCAAGCTATTGCTTCCAGTGACTGGAGGCCTGATTCTTCTGTCTCACCTCAGAATGGGAAGGACCAGTCAAGGTACAGACTAGGATCTTGGGAATTCACTTTCCTGTCCTCATTGCTCCCCGATCTCCCCCATCCCTCTCTTCAATCTGCCTACAATACCTGTCAGAAAAAAATTATGATGCATCCTATGATGAGGATTCTAGTGATTAAAGGTACTGAATTCCAGTGATTAAAGGTACTGGCTGAGGACTTCTCAATGACTGTGTCTGGGGTGGTGGTTGAAGGTCCTGAAATGGAAACACAAGAGTGTTAGCCCTTCTTCAGACCAAAATATGAGGACATATCTGCTTAGATCCTGCTGCCCCAAGTCATTCAGGAAGGCAGACAGTTCCTAGATCTCTGCTATGTGGCAGCTGCTGTGACAGGTCCTGAGAAGTGAGGGAGACAGGAAAAGGGTCATGTCTTTAAGGGGCTCATATAGCTAATGGGAGAAGCCTGGGTGATCATGCAACTCATCCTTCCTGGTGGCAGAATATGAGGAGACCCATGAGGATGGTGGTGGAGAAGGGTCTCAGGAGCTGACATGTGAAGTGATTTAGAGGAATTTCCAAAAAGAGATGAGCAAATGTCAGACCAAAAGAATGTGCACTGAAAAAGAGGCATTAGGAGGTGAGAAGGGAAAAATATGGAAAGACTATACCTATGAATGTTAACCCAGGTCTGACTCATGCTTGATGGAGTGTACACACACACACACACACACACACACACGTAGCAGCATCTCATGTGAATCCCACTTCTTCCCCCTCCTGCCAGTTACCTGTTGGCTCCAACTCTGCCTCCCATTCCTTCAAGTTCTGAATCCAGGTTCTACAGTCACCTATCGAGGACCTATGTAACAAATCGGTCACCTCCTTGTCATTTTCCCACATTTTTTTCATCCAGCTGGACCCAGGACGTATCTCTCTCCACCTTCTGTTGTCTGAGTCAAAAAGGAGCCACATCCGTCCATTGAAGCCAAACTGCCAAGAGCTGTTGGATTTATGCTGACAACACATCCTGCCCTCCAGGGTGTTCAGACCTGCCCCTATCAGAAAGAAATCAGCCTCTTATTCTTAACAAATCCTTTGTCCAACCCAGTACCACCTTCCCTGTTTTCCTTCAAATCTGGCTGTGTTCTGTCCTCCAAAACAGTTATGTCTAGGCTTTTAGAGGGACCAACATCTAACTCTTTTTTTTTTTTTTACATGCACACAATCAATTTCCTTCAACCCAATATCAGCTCTCTTGTGCCCTTGGACCATCCTTACATACCTCTGGCCATGTCATTTTCTGCTTTAATGTCAGCCAGTTTCTGTTTTAGCGTATTCCCAATATCTCTCAGTAAGGTTTTCTGCTCTTCCCAGTTGATTGTGGCATTCACTTTCCCTTCCAGGGCACTCAAGGATTTGACCTTGTCCATGCCACAGTCAAAGGAGAGAAAATTCTTCTGGTCCACCTGGGCTTGGACTGTACACCATTGCTGTCCAGGTGCTGCCTTAGAATTGATGGTGAAGTCATAGCAAAGGGAGTGAGTGCCTGTGAAGGAAAAGGGTTGGGCTGGTGAGAAAGGACCCTTTAGGCACCCCCTCCCCATCCCTCTGAAGGGCTGAGCTGGCAGAGCAAGAATGACCCTTCCCAAGCTGTCTGCTCCACCTGTTTAGGTGGGCATGTTCCCCTCCTTTGAAGAGGAGGGGACAGCAACCTCATGTCCCAGGACATGGCCCACTTCCCCTCTGCCCTTTGAACAATGCCTACACCCAGCAGCACATCACCTTGCAATGGCGGTGCCAGGCCTGCTGTGAGGCAAGGGCCTGCCTGGCAGAGGACGATCAGACGCAGGAGAAGGGACTGTGCATGCTGAGTCATGGTGGGTGCAGTGAGGATGGGATCACAGCTGCATGAGAAAGAGTTCATAATTATGGTTCATAGCTTTTAGCTTGACTGTTAGGAGATGGCACTACTGTCCCAGGAGATTGCCTTTTTTTAGGTTGGAAAGTGATATTGTAATCTGAATGAAATGAAAAATCCATAGTTTGAAGAAAGGTAGTAAAGGAAGGAATCAGAAGTATGTGCTTTGTGGCTCAGAAAATTGTATATGCCAGGTTAGATATACTAGAAAAGCCAGAAAAATGACCAGTCCACTGTGATTTTTAAGAAAGCCTGGGAGACTCTTGTTTATCAAGTGTATTAAAAATATCTGGTATCCAAACCTGAACCAAAATTAGTGGAAAGGAAGAAATAATAAGTTCAGAGCAGAGCACAAATAAATGAATCAGAGACTAAAAAGGAGCACAAGAGAGTAATGAAATAAGGAGCTGGTTTTTCAAAGAACTAAACACAGGTGAAAAGTCAGTAGCTAGACAACTAGGAAAAGTAGAGAGAAGACTCAAATTCAGACAAGAAAAGGGAGAGATTGCAACTGACACCACAAAAGTACAAAGGATCATTTGAGATTATTAGGAACAAAGATACCCATGTTTGTTATTATTTGCAAAAATTTGGTCACCTAGAATAAATGGAAAAATTCCTTAACACTTACACATATATATCTTACCCAGGTTGAATCATGAATAAATAAAAAACTGAGCGGACCTATAATAAGTAACAAGATTGAATCAGTAGTAATAGTCTTCCAGGAAAGAAAATTCCAATACAAGAGAGCTTTACTGCTAAGTTCTACCAAATATTTGAAGAACAGTTTCTAGTTCTCCTTAAGTAATTCCCAAAAATAGAAGAGAAAGAAATTCTTCCAAATACATTTGATAAAGCCAGCAATTCCATGATACCAAAACCTGACAACACACACAAAAACTAATCCACAGCTATTTTTTTAAAATATTTTTTTAATTGTTGATAAAACTTTATTTTATTTATTAATTTATATGTGGTGCTGAGAATCGAACCCAGTGCCTCACACATGCCAGGCAAGTGTGCTACTGCTGAGCCCCAGCCCCAGCCCCCACAGCTAATATTTTTGATGAATAAAGATACAAAAATCCTGAACAAAATACTAGCAAACTAAATTAATTGCCCACTGGAAAGATTATTCAACATGACCAAGTGGAATGCATCTCAGGGATGCAATAATGGTTCAACACTATCTAATCAATAAATGTAATATCCCACATTAACAGAATGAAGGGCAAAACCAATATAATAGATGTAGAAAAGGCATTTGATAAAATCAACATCTCTTCATGATGAAAATGCTGAACAACTAGGTATAGAAGGAATATATCTCAACATGATAAAAGGTGTGTGAAATAAGCCATCAGCAAGCATCATATCAAATGGATAAACACTGAAAGTTTTTTCTCTCAGATCTGAAACAGAAGAATGATGCCCATTTTACCACTTTTAATCAATGGAATTCTGGGAGTGCTTGCTAGAGCAATCAGGCAAGAGAAAAAATGAAGGGCATCCAAACTGGGAAAAAAGGAATAAAATTCTCACTGTTTGCAGATGAGCTGATGTTACATATAGAAAACTCCAAGGACTTCACCCAAAACTAGTAGTGGTAATAGATGAATTTAACAAAATTGCAAGATACAAAAAAAATAAAATTATTAGAGTTGTTATATACAAATAGCAATCATCTGAAATAGAAATCAAGCAAACAATACTACTTACGAAAAATATAAAACCTTGGAACAAATTAAAATAAAGAGGTAAAAGATCTCTAAAATGAAAACTTTAAAGCAATGAGGAAAGAAATTGAAAATCACACACACACACACACACAAATAAAAAGATAACCAATATTGTTCAAATGTCTATTCTACCCAACAAGATCAGCAGATTCAATGTAATCCCTACCAAAACACCAAGAGCATTCTTCACAGAACTAGAAAAGACAATCCTAAAATTTCTATGGAACCACAGAGCTCCTGAAGAGTCACAGTCATCCTGCATGAAAAGAACCAAGCAAGAGGAGTTCCATGACCTGACTTCAAAATACAGGACAAAGCTGGAGTAATCAGAATAGCATGGTGCTGACTTACAAACAGAAGCATGGACCATGGAACAGAACAGAGAGCATAGAATTCGACCCACACACCTACAGCAGCCTATTTTTGAAAAGGTGTAAGAATGTACAGTAGAAAAAGGACAGTTTTGGGGCTGGGATTGTGGCTCAGAGGTAAAGCGCTCGCCTAGCACGGGAGGGACCCGGGTTCGATTCTCAATACCACATAAAAAAAAAAAAATAAAGGCATTGTGTTGTGTCCATCTTAAAAAAAAAAAAATTCTCTCTCTCTCTTAAAAAAAAAAAAAAGACATTTTTTTCTATACATGGTGTTGGGAAAACAGGAAATCCACAGGAAAAAGAATGAAACTAGACCCCTGTGGCTCTTCACTCAGAAACAATCAACTCAAAGTGGATTAAATGGGCTGGGGGTGTAGCGCAGTGGTAAAATGCTTGCTTACCATGCAGGAGAACCAGGGATTAATTGAAAAAAATAATAAAATAAAAATAAAAAAAAGGGCTGGGGATGTGGCTCAAGTGGTAACGCGCTTGCCTGGCATGCGCGGGGCGCTGGGTTCGATCCTCAGCACCACATAAAAAAATAAAATAAAGATGTTGTGTCCACCAAAAACTGAAAAATAAATATTTAAAAAAATAAATAAAATTTTATTTTTAAACATTTTAAGGATATTGTAATGGGAAAAGATTTTTTAGACAAGACCCTAAAAGTAGAGAAAACAAAAGCAAAAACAGATAAACAAGATGAATCAAACTAAAAAATCCTCTGCACATCAAAGGCAACAATTTTGGGAGTGAAGAGACAACCTACAGAATGTCAGAAAATATTTGCATGTTGTATATCAGGTAAGAGGTTATATATGGAACTCAAAGAACTTAATAATTAGAAAACAAATAGCCTGATTGCAAAATGGAGAAAAAAATCTGAAGACATTTCTCAATAGTGATAAGTAAATGGCCCATAGGCACACAAAACTGTGCTCAGTATCACCAGTCATCTTTGAAATGCACATCACAACCACAAGGTGACATCATCTCACTCCAGTAAGAATGACTGTTAACAATAAAACAAACAAACAAAAAGTGCCTGCAAGAGAATCCTGTATATTGTTAGCGGGATGTAGATTCATAGTGGGGGAGAGGTAGGGGGACTTAGGCAACCAGGGCAAGATGGCAAGTGAGGAGGCTGGGCAGGGCCCAAACAAAGGAGCATGGGGAGGGTCTTCTGATGAGGTCAACTTCCTGCTTGACCTAAGTGCTGGTGGACACAAGTGGGGGACCCAATCAGACAGACACTTCCATATTAGCACTCCCAAGCAAGAGATCCAAAAGGAAAACTAAAATAGATGCATGGACAGAGGGGGCACCAATAAATAATATTTAGGAGTGTGTAGACAGGGGAGGAGATCAGAAAAGGAGGAATTCCAGAGACCATCAAAAGAACAGGCCAAAACTCCCACTGGATTCCCAGCTCTGAGGCCCCTTTTCTCAGAGAAGTCCTCTCTATATCTCTCTCACTTTTGCAATAAACCCACTTCTTACTTTCTCAGTTTTCTGTTCTTAGATTCTTTGCTGAATGAACACAATGATAGGTGTTTTCTAATTATTAATTATAGGTGGTAATAATAGGGCCACTAGGAAAAACAGTATGAGGTCCTTAAAAATTTAAAAATTGAACTAGCATACGATCTAGGAATTCCTCTACTGAGTAATAGCCAAAGTAAATAAATACAGTCTTTCAAAGTCATCTGCACTCCCATGTTCAATGTAACACTATTCAAAAAGGCCAAGAAACATAAACAACCTAGGTGTCAATCAAGTGATTAACAGATTTAAAGACAATATGATACATAATACAAACTGGAATACTATTCATCCATATAAAGGACAAAATCCTGTCATCTGCAACACCATTGATGGAAATGGAGATCATCATGTTAAGAGAAGTAAGCCAGAAAGACAAGTATCATATGATCTCACTTGCATGTGGAATCCAAAAAAAGTTCATCTCAGTATTTGAAATCAGATGGTGTGTACAGAAAAAGGGATAGGAGATGTTGATAGATGGGAATTAATTTGCAATTAGATAACAGTGATAATTTCTGGTGTGCTCCAGCACAGTAGAGTGACTGTAGAAAACTGTTTTTTGTTTAACTCAAGAAGCTAGAAGAGGGCTGGGGTTGTGGCTCAGTGGTAGAGCATTTGCCTGTCAAGTATGAGGCACTGGGTTCCATCCTTAGCACCACATAAAAATAAAATAAAGGTATTGTGTTCATCTACTATATTAAAACCAAAACCTTAAACTAACAACCAAGCCCTAAGGAGGGGCTCAGGTTCCACTCCTGGACATCTACTCGTATCAAAAACAGAGAATGATACCAACAAAAAGGATAACTACAGACAAAGGGACACATGTAAAAAAAAAGAGGAAAGAAAATCCATCTCATTTGAAGTGAAAGTCTGAGATCTCAGAAAACATGAGGAAACAGGCACGCCCCCCCCCCCCCCACAATGCTCCAACAAAGGATCCCACAGTTATGGAAGTAGATAAAAT